GGACACCAGCCTCGCCAATTTCCCTGCCGATTACATAAATGCTATCCTGAATTTCTCTCTCCATGGACTTACTCTAACGCTAAATAACACGGAGCTCAGGTGCGTGCTGTGAAAGCGTTTAGAAGCTTGTGTTACCCTTTTGAGTTCTTATGAAGAAGGTGCATCCTATCGCACTGCTAACTAACTCGAATGCAACAGTTACTCAAACGCTCGTGGTGACCATTGGGTAGCAATGGTGCTCTTGGCGGACGCACTGGAACAAGGCTGTGGAACAAGCGTTCACAGATTGAATTTGAATAATTTAGGCCTTCTTTTACAATGAGCTTGGTCTGTAACTTCCACAATACAGGTTATTGATCGCAGAAGCCAGGGGATATTGCCTCCCGAGTATAAATGTGCAAGCGTTTTTACATACGAGAACTAGTCCAACTGGTTTCCAACGTAGTTATTCTCCCAATTTCGAAGATCACAAGAGGAGCTTGTTGGATGTTGATTTTAGCGGCACTGTCTAAGTTTGATGACCCAATTAATAAAACTATGACTATAATTCTGAAAGGGATTTTGGCTATGAAACTTTGCGTAGGAATTGCGCACAAGGATTTATCATGCAAACAGATCTGACGGTACTTCAAACACATCGAGGGGGAGGTAATTTTCGAGGCGTAAGATTATATAATATTGATGAAATACATAAAATGTCAGTTTGTGGAGATTTACGCCTTATTTAAATTTATATTCGCAGGAAGGCTATTTGTCGTAATATGGATCCACTTATGCATTTGTAAATATCTTTACCGACATATTTCTAAAGAGAGCATTTAGTCTGACAATTCTTTAAGCCACCCACTTATCCAAAAAATCTGGGCCCCGTATTTGTCCGCACATGCCCGTCTTGATTATTGATAGATATACGTTTGAGCCAACTTTTTCGCCGCACAACGCGTTCGCTCCGCTCCCCTCTGTGGTTCTACAAAGTCGGCAAAGCCGACATTCAAAAAATCCATAAGAGCTTTCGCTATATTTCCTCCGTTTTAACTGCCATTTTGCTGTTTTCTTTCTTAGGGATAATCATTTGGAGAAAATTTAAATTTTTTATGCCCAATTTACAAGCTAATTACTGCCGTTTCCTACATTTGTTGCGTATTTGCCTTTTTTTAGTGACCCTCGCATCGTTAGATTTCAGCTTGAGGGATTGACGTCCAAAATTCTTCAACGTTCCGGAGACCGTGCTTTTGAGTGAGTACAGATTCCATTTTTCCATTATCAACATTGCGACGTGGACTGGATGACGTAAATAAATTTATAAAGTCCACCTTTCACAGTATCTTTTCAGTCGCATTTACAGCTTACTGTAACGTCATTCAGGCAATAGGTTCCCCTGTGTTTCGCTTTAAAATTCTATTTTAAATGCGGTACAATTCGGCCGGAGCTACCTAGTTTTTCACAGTTGGCTCAAATGAGTTACGAAAATCTGCCAACTCCCCATTATTAAGTAGCATTGTCATATTAATTATCTTGCGACAACATACCAATATATTTCAGTTGCATCAAGATGCTGACCGTTAACCGTGCTTCCTCCCCACTGCATTTAAAAATAATCATATGCCAATGGCTGCTTAAGTAGTATGCACTTTTTTCATTCATTTTCAGCGCCACTATAAATTCAAATACATTTTGTAGAAGGCATGCATAAAATACCCCTCGTTGTACCCATTTGACAGCAGAGTACATCTTTTCCAAATCTTGTATTTAGGAAAAATGAATTGGAAAAGGCAGTCGGTTTTTATCGCATGCGTTTTTTCCAGTCGACCGAAAAGAAACGCATTAAAATTCAAAAGCGACTGGAATATCTCTGAATATTGTCGCATGTAAATTAATAGTACAATCCCACATATGTTATCCTTCCTAACTGCTAACCAATTTCGTAATATCGATTAATGTTTTATGAAAAAATCCCCCATACTGTATGTCGTTCATCCTCCTCATGGGGGTTATTATCGGTTGGTAACTGTCATGAGTAATATTTCCCTCGTCG